GGGGGGGGGGGGGTGAGGCTGGAGCCAGGGCTGGAGGAACTGCCAGGAGGGGGGCTGGAGGCTGGGGGGTGGTCCAGGGGTACTTTTCTTCTTGTGGCAGAGGTTTTGGTTCTCATTGCTGGGTGGGACGTCTCTGAGTCAAGGGGCTCAGTGTAGCGTGTGCAGGCGCATGCACACATGCACACACACACGTATGTGTGCACACACAGTCCTACAGGGCTTGGGGAGCAATGTGACAGGTCTGTGTTTTCCAGGGACTGGGAGGGGGTGAGTCGGGGAGGGTCAAGCAGGTCTGTCCCTTTGCACAAATCCAGGGAATGCCACTGGTGTCGCATTCCACGTGTGATGCACGCACAGCCTGAGTGGCCTCACAGAGCCACCCTGGGGGAGGAGAAGGCAATGTCAGCCTGTGCCCCCTTCCCACTCCTCCAGCCCTCTCCTCCTAATCTGGCTAGAAGGTAGAAAGGCCCCTCCTCCTGCTGGAGGGTGGCTGGAGAGCATGTCCCCCTTCTCCAGGACATCCATCCCAGCTGCTCAAGACATTCCCTGTTCTCTCCTCGTCGTCCGTAGCATACCTGCTTGCCTGGACCCTGACTGGCCCACACAGAGTTCTGGTACCTTGTAAGGGCCTGCTGGTTGGTCAGCAGCCCTGCCCTGGACGCCCCCTGGCCCTGGGGTGACCCCTGCCTGCCAGCAGTGGCATGACAGCTACTTTTCCTGCATCCCTGGGGGCAGGGGTAAGAACAGAGCAGGAGTGTCTGAGAGGGCTCAGCATCTGAGCCCATAGGCAGAGTCCCCGGGCCCTTGGGAGGGGTTGCTCTCAGCCCTGGCCTTAAATTGCTGGGTGGCATCTGCTGCTGGGACCTGTAGGGCTAACACGGGAGAAGTGGGCTGGCCAACAGCGAGGGGCCTGGGTGTGACCTGAACGTCCTCCTGTCCCAGCCTTAGCCTCTCTGGCCCATCTGTCAGAGCTGGTGGCCTGCTGGCCACTTTGCCTTTCCTGGAAGCCTCCCACACCTGTCCCTGAGGCTCCCCATGGCTCCACCCACTCCAGGGGTGGGTGAGAGTGTGTGAGAATCTTGCCAAATGGACTTGGGCTTCCCAAATCCGCATTCGCGCCATACTCCCAACATCCACAAGGGGGCGCCAGAGATCTTGAGGGCCACGCTGTGTGTGTGTGTGTGTGTGTGTGTGTGTGTATTGCTCCCGTGCACAGCCACGAGTGAACCTGTACTAGAAGGGGGCGCACGAAGACTGGGGTACCGGGAGGCAGGGAGTGGAGGCCAAAGGAAATCACACAGACCTGGGAATCTAGTTTTGCTCCAAATGCTCCGTTTATTGCTCTATTCAATGACCACGAGCAAATTATAAAAAGACACCAAATGTCTCTGTCTGCCGTGGAATAAATATTTAAAGTCAGCAATAAAAACACGTGGCTCCAAGATAACGCATGTTGCCAGAGAGTCATGCATGCCCTGCTGATGGGCTCTCAACACACGCATGGACACGGGAACACACGCAGAGCTACACCCGTGAGGCCCTGGGAAGGCTCTCCCACAGCGACACAGAGACATGTTTCACACAGGTCTGGGGCCAGGTCCCCACCCCACCCTCGAGCTCCCCCTCTCCCACCCCCACCAGGGCCCAGGGCCTCTGGGTTCACAGTCCCCAAATGTCCCCTTTCTCCCCAATGCCTCACAGGCTGGTCACCGCCTTCTGAGGGCATCTGGTACCCAGAGGCCACTCTGGCTGTGATTACCACCCCCAACCCAGAGACCTCTCCCTCAGCTGGGATCTTTCCCCACTCAGGAACCCCCCATGCCTGATCTCCAGGTCCCCAGGCCCTCTCCCCATCCTGGTCCCCATAACTGGGAGCAAAATGCAGTCTGCCTGTTGGGAGAAGTGGGGTGGGGGCCCAAGGCCGGCACCTCTGCCTGGGCTGCGCTGGGGCTGGAGCTCATTCCCCCCTTTCCGGGCTGAGGAGACACAGTGTCCGGTACAGACGGCAGAGATGGACTGACAGACGACACGCTGCGGGAGGACACTTGGAGTGCAGCCTGGAAACGTTGTGGATCAAGTAGCCATGGAACCATTGTTAAAAACCAAGGCCCCGGGTCTGCATGGTGTGCGTCAGGCCCTGGGGCCCCAGACCTAGCCTGGCACATCCATACCCCCCCGCCCCACTCCCCAATATGTACAGTAGGAAGAGCTATGTTGGGGGGCAGGGGCCAGGCCGAGGCTGACGGAGGAGGGAGGGAGCAGACTGAAGAGAAGGAAGCAAGAGGGGCAGGGAGCAGGCCAGGACCAAGGCAGGGCCCTGCGTGTGGCTGGAGTGGGGGCCCAGACTCAGAGGACCTCGGGGGAGGAGTGGTCACTCCGGGGCCTGGCAGGACAGCTGCTTCTCGTAGAGGCTCATGACGTGGTGCACAAACTGGTACTGCTCACACGTCTGGATCATGCCGCCCCTGCCGGGCAGAGACGCTCAGTGGGGATTGGGTCTTGAGGGATGGGCTCGGGAGGGTGCCCCTCAAACCCGCGGAGCACCGATCGTTTGTGAGGGGCCTTGTCTTTGTGTAGCCTGGAGAGACCAACCCTTGCCAGCCACTCCCCTCTGCTTCCCCTTGTCCTTCCCAGCTCCGGCATAGATAGGAGGGACAGAGATGACGTGTGCTATCACTCAGCCCGTCCTGCAGCCCACCAGCTGTTTCTCTTCCCTCTTCATCGAGCCACCACTGCCTGGACCCAGCCCCTCAACCCATCTGTCCCCCCCTACTCCCTGTCCAACAGTCAGTCCACACCTGGTGTGTCCTCCTGCCCCTTGCACGCGTCAGTCCCTCCGTGCCACCCCATGTGCCTCACCCCCACCCACGGGCTGACCTGTCCTGACGGAGCTGGCACGTGGTCTTCAGGATGTCCACCACGCCCTCATGCCGCAGCTGCTGGCAGCAGATGCTGGTGGCAATGAAGCAGCCAGTCCTCCCAATCCCTGCACTGAGGGCAGAGGGGATGGGTGGGGTGAGGGGCGGGGCAGCCTGGGGTGGGGGGTGTTGTAGAAGGCTGCCCTGCCCTAGCAGGTGGCTGAGGGGACCCACCTGCAGTGGACGATGATGGGGGCGCAGCGGGGCCCCTCCTGCTGGGCTGCCTCCTCCACCTCCCGCACCAGGTGCAGGAGGGGGGGCGCCCGGTCTGGGGTCTTCTGGTCAGGCCAGGACGTGAACCAGTAATGCTTCAGGCCTCGCTCTTCGGTCCCGCTCTGTCCAGGAGACAGAGGCCCACCCCAGGTACACGTGAACTCAGAGCCCACAAACCAGCCCAGAGATGGAGATGGAATGGGAGGGGAAGAACACAGGAGGGAGGACACAGGAGTGGGACCCCTGGCCTCTGCCCTCTACCCCATATTGCCCAGTGGCACCAGAGGCCCAAAGCCAGCGTGGTAGCAGGGGCTGGTCAGCAGCCTCGGCACTGGTCTTCACGTGAGCTCTGCCCCAGCAACTCCA